ATAGATCCATCACAGCCTGTTCTTTGTTATTCCCTCTTCACTGCTCGTCCTGGATGAAGCCTGTGCTTTGCCTCAGGACTGGCAGATCCAGACCCAGCCGTGGAGGCTGTGGGAGCTGGGCACCAGTCCCTGGCTGCCCAGTATCAGGTAGCAAAGACTCAGCACCAAGCCAGAGATGGAAAGTTATTCATCTCGAGTAATTGCTGGTTTCGGTGATGTTTGCTGAATTTGGGGATGTATCATGGGTGAGTCACTGGGAAAAGAAAAGGATTCACAAGAAATACTATTGACAATGAATAATTCAGCTACCTTGAATATGAATGCTGGCTTACACTTAACTCTCTCCTGGAGACTTTTTATGGCTCTGTGAAAGGAAAGGGGAAATTTGGGACGAGCCAGCTCCGCTCCTTACTCGGCTCCTTACGGGGAATCCTTGTGCCTGTGGGAAAACCCCAGGGTGGCAGCAGCAGAGGGATGGAGACACTCCCACGCTTCCAGCAAAGCCCAGTGGAGGTGGATTGGGCTGTCCCATGGCCAGGACAGCCTGGAATTGTGGCTGCTGCACTGAGAGGCAGCACGGATGGGGTGTAAAGGGGGTGCTGGTGATGCCTCCTAGCCTGGCTGCTAGCTCCTTCCAGCCCTGCTATGCATTTAAATCACCTCCTGCTTGTCCCCAGAATACCAGGCAGAGGAACTGCTCGGGCATGCGAATGGAGCCGTTCGCAGGGGCAGTGGGAATGGTTTCGGCTCCGGGATCAAGGCAGGGCCAGTGGCTGTGTGGGGAGAGGGTATCGTTACTGCTGTTAATGTGTAACCCTAATAGCCCTCACCCGCGCCGTGATTAGATAAGGGAATAGCTTTAATGTGCTCTGCAGAGCCCCAGGGACGCGCTCCCGAGTGTGCACGCACACGCACTCCCACACACGGGGGGGGAAGGGGTCCCGACCCCCAGCCCAGGTCTGCTCCCCACGGCAGCCCTGCCCCAGGGATGGGGATGCTGGAGTTCCTGCCCTGGACCGGGGCAGCAGCCTGGCAGGAGGAAGGAAAATCAAACCAGATCTGCACCCTCTTGGCCACAGTGGAGGCTGCCAGGGAGGTGGTAATTCACTGTCTCCAGCCCTGGCTCACCCAAAGGATGACTTTCAGTAAAAAACTCTGCCCCAGATTCCAAAACAGATAGACATTGGGTATTTTGAGGCTGGTGTTAAGTAGCTCCAAGAACAGCAGGGAAGGGGCTTGGTTCAAACCAGGGAGGAATGGACTGCAGGGGGGCAGTGGCACCCAGGGAGGAGGTGGAAAAGAGAAGGAGCATGAGCTGGCATGTGTTATTTGGAAACTGTCTTTCCCCCAGTCCCCCAGAGCGATGCACCCAGCGCGGTGTGCCCAGCAGAGGTAAGAGGGGATGGGGCCAGCTTGGAAGGGAGGATGCCCGTTGGCAGGACACGGACCTGCACCCGCAGCAGGAGCAGCATGGCTGCCAGAGGTGGGTGCTTGCTCTCCATGATAAAGCTGCTTCATTCAACCAGCAGCATCTACTTGCAAGGAAGATGAAATCCTCCCATCCCAGAAGACTCATGCTCCATCAGGATCTCCCCAGGGAAAGCATCAAGGAAAACTTTCCTTCATGGCCAGCATGGCCTACACGATGTTACAGGTGGAGAAACTGAGGCACTGAAGCAGCTCCAAACCAGGGTGGAGTCCCAGGGGCAGAGCCACAGGCTCTGATCACCGGTGGGACTCCCTGGACAGCTGAGCCCCAAGTCCTTCTGCAGCTCCGTGGGGAGAAATCCCCCTGCAGTGCAAGGCCAGGGGCAGCCAGTGGGGTGATGCCCCGTGGCAGAGACCCCGGGCTCAGGAGGAGGCCGGGCTCGGCACCTAAAGCTTAGGAGCCTCCAGGCTGGATGGAGCTACCCTCATCTGGCAGCCAGATGTGCTCCAGCTGCCTCTGTGCGGAGGGGTCAATGCTCCCTCTGCTGAGCAACGGGGACGGCAGCCGTGCTGCTGTCTCAGGACAGACAGCCCAG